TCTTCGTCAAAATTGATTGTATATCTATCTGTTGTTCATACGAGTGTGAGTGTGATTGTAGAGAGCTTTCTTCTATAAGTTGATGTACAAACGAACTGTATAAACTGTTTATGTTGGGAATACCTTGAGTTTCTACTTTTTTCGTTCACCAATTGACAACAAAATTCAACTAAGAAAACATCCAATCACACCTAAAATTTAAAAGTCATCTTAGTGTAAAACATTTGAACACTCACTAGTGCGCAAATGATGAGCAACAAGTACTTGTCAAATTCGGAAATTAACCAGAAACTAACACAAACTAAACATGATTTCTGAATGATAATGATGCAGTCTTGAATAACACAAATGGTTTTTAAAGAAATGGATCATTTAAGTAAGCACGCCACTTGTCAATAGATGCCAACTCGTCTGGATCCAAGCATGGAAGCTCACGTTCTTGAAGGGTGTTGATTATCTTTGTAGCCTCACCGAGAAGCTGAGCTGCAGCATGGACACTCGCCTCCCTTTTCTCTATGGCTCTTGTGTGGCATTTAATTGCTATGACTTGGGGTAAGTTGGTGAGGCATGCAGCCAATATATCAGCTGTCATTAATGATATTTGCACAAATAGTTGCTCCTGGCTAAGCTGGTCAATATCCTCATGGTAGGAGAGCAGGATTGTTTCTGTGAGACGATACATTGAATTGGCAGAAATACACCTCCACTTGGAATTATCATTTGGGACTCCAGTACGCACACCTTCATCCTTGATAACCATTTTTTTAGCTGTATTGCTCAACCATTGAAGAATCTGTCCTGCTGTATTCACTTGAGGATCAGGTGTTTGCAGCTTGTTTCCTAACCATGTGTGGTAGACTTCAACTTCTGGCCACACAGTTTTAGCCGCATTTTGAATGCTTACATGATCATCGGTACCATTGAGGCTTTCTTCCACAAGTGTGACATATACAAGACCTTCTCTCACACCACTAATCAGCAAGCGATCGACTATGTTCTTTTGGATGTTAGGAAGAGACATGGCGATTGTTGTCAGAGTTACCAATGCCATGCTCCAACAGTTGAGATATTCTTCTGAAAGTAAAGGTGGAACATGATGGCTGTCAAACTTTTCAACTCCTTCAAAACCTCTAGATTCTGCTAGAAGTTTCATAAGATTGTTGGGTTGTCGTTTTTCAGCCTTTTGGATCAAATGGTTCACGGATTTTAAAATCCCTTTCAATGTTCTCTCAGGAAACTCCATGTCATCTTGAAGTTGCAAAACATACCGGCTAAGATCTTTATCTTTTCCTAGTTGCTCCTCCGGGTTTTGTTCCAAGTTAACACGTGAGACACGAAACATGGCCTTTAACCACTTCCAACATCGGAGACAATACAAGACACATATCACAAAGAAAATTGGAATCAGTGTTATAATTTTGCATGCTACCACGACTATCAGCTGAAATCCAATACAAATGTTGAGAATTAAGATTTTCAAAGTCTGGATAACAATCATGCATTGACGACTACTGGATGGGAATGGTATGCTGCTGTATTTCCAATCAGATAATTTCTGTGTCCAGTAGCTCTCTACTTTAAAGACCTTGATATGCCTCCAAATCCACTTTACGGATAACTTAAAGGTCAAGGCTGCAAAGCATCTAGCAAGTGGGGCAATTGTACCCAGAACGACTCCAATAAGTTGTACTATGCGAATCACTAACATTAACCAAAGATAATCCGACTTAAAGTCCTTTATATGTGGAATCCTGAAAATAGACATACCCCAAATATGTACGAGAGTGGTTAAAGCACATATTACCCCAGAAGCAGAGGTTGTAGCAAAGGAAGCTGTCATGAACTGGGGGCTTCCAGTTTTTGCCATAATCCAGTAGTTGTTCACATGTTGCTTTAGCTTCTCAACACTCGGCTGTTGTAGCTCTTGATCCTTTAAAGTTGTTTGATGAGCTGTTTGGTATTTCGATTCCAGAATTTGTTTGGACTTTAGAATTGCTAAAGATGAACATGCATATATTATCAACAACATGAGTAACACAACCACATAAGTAATTGTCAGCATGAAACTGACAGATGGGTAGAATAGTGTAGAGCCTCCATCATTAAAACCAATTCTAACCACAGTCTCATCTTCATGATAGGAGAGGACTCCCGTGTTTATTTGAATGCAGACATTCACAACCAAGGTGATTACCAGAACACCTAAAGCTATCATATTTGTCACAAGTTCCTTGCTGTTCATAGTTGCTAGAGAAGGCAATAGATTAGACATTATGGCGCACATAAAGCTCACACTTCCAAGCTTTGTAGCCTGGTCCTCATAACTTGGCATTAGATTAGTAAGATCCATGGGTAGCTTTATAGCAACAGCTATCACAGTGAGAGAAGCTGCATTCAGAGTGAAATATTTACACGGAAACCATAGCTTTCTGTTCCTCAGACCATGTAAAAGATCAGCCACCATTGCAAGGATGCAAATCAGAGATGCTAATGTGATATACATCCCAATCCATGGCATAGGTTTACCGAATCTGTTTTGCTGATGTGACTTGAACAGTGAAATCCAAAGGTCAGATAGATATTCTTCTGTGAGATTGGGGCAAGATGCCACATGCTCCACAAAATATAGAAAGTCGGAATCCATGATTATCTTCTTTCAAGGCAAAGGAAATCGTGGTATGGGATCTTCGAAGGGGTGTTTAAAGGGTATAAAGGAGATGCAAAGTGCAAAAATTAAAATTTAGCTAGTTATGTTTCTATTAATGCTATGATTAATGACTTCCAAAAATTAAACTTAATTTCATGTTTATAATTGCCCATTTGATCCCTCACACGAACCTTCCATTTCATTACAGGAAAAGACGTCCAATAAAAAATAAAAAGTCAATGTTGCAGGTGAAATGAGAGTTTCCAATGAAATATCAAGAGAACGTCATTGAAAAGTAGATAATTAGTATGAAATACTCAAGTAGCATATCGACACTCGTAATCAATAATATAATAATAAGAGAATATATATCAAATTCGTTCAATCAGATTTCAACGGTTTGTTAAATTGTTTTATGTTCGAAGTTTTCGTCCATAGCCTGACAAAGACAAATGATAAATCTCTCTAAGAAACAAGAAAACATATAGTAAATATCTCTAAGAAACAAGAAGACATATAGTATAGAGTAAATTAAATGAATTGTCCTTGTGCTTTGGTGTAATCTGTGCCCTTGATTCTTATTTATTTATTTTTTTTTTAGGTCGGACCGTCCCTTGTATGCTTTTGTTGCATACTTAGCCCCCAACGAAAAAAGACCATTCAACCATTCTCTATTTCCTTTTTGATTTCTTTATTGCTTATTTTTATTTATATTATTAAAAAAAAATTAAGGTGCCACCTTATCCTCTTCCCTTCGAGACTTGCATGTTACCCATTATATCTTTCGTCTCACTCATCAGAAGACAATCAACTCTTGCAATAATAACCACCATCATTGCCATTGTAATCGAAACCAATTTGAACCCGTAAATTATCGAAACAAAGCGATTTCTATACCAAGGAATCAAAATATGATGCAACTTGAATCCAAACTATAGGGGATACTATATTAAAGTATCATCTAATAAAAAATAAGATGTAGGAAAAGTAAAGATCTAAATGACGAAATAGGGTGAGTGAAGATCTACACTAGATGAACTATAGTGGATTATAGATCCACCATACCGGTGGTCGACGTGTTGGTCAATAGGTCTCCTACAGCAACGCAGGCTTTTGGGAAGATTTTGAGAGAATGAGGCTTTTGAGAGCAGATGGAGGCATATCAGATGATCTAACCATCTTAGTGAATATAAAAGGTTTTTTTATTTGATTTTGGAAAACAATAGACTCTCCTTGTCCCCTCCTTTCTTTACAACACCCATGCTCTCTTTTTTACACGGGGCACAATAGTTTTTTTAGGTTGGAACGAAACGTCCAACAAAAACATACAATAGGGTCTGTCTTAGTTAAAATAAAATTAGAGATCAAACGCGTAAATTACACAAATCATACGGACCATTTATATAATTTACTCTATTTTATATAATTCAATTATATATGATTAAAGACTGGTCATGCCCACTTTTAGTTTACAAAACAAGATATATATATATATATATATATATATATATATATATATATATATATATATATATATATATATATATATATATATATATATATATATAAATGATCATTTGAAAACTAATAATTTCCCGTAAACCCGAGAACTAAAGGTAAAGCGTTGGATATATATATATATATATATATATATATATATATATATATATATATATATATATATATATATATATATATATATATATATATATATATATATATATACATAAGAAGGATCATTTGAAAACTCATAATTTCCCTAAAACCCGAGAAGTAAAAATAAAACGTTGGATCAATTGTTTGGATGGCTTAGATGATCGGTGGCATAATTTATAAATATTACTAATTTCAGTGGCTCAATGGATTTTTTAAAAGTAATCACGGGGATATATTTGGTTGAAAAAGTATTATATGTTGAAAAATATCATTTTAAAGGAATTCCATCACAACAAGAAATAAGTCATTTAAGAAAGTAAGTTACGATAATGTTTATTCAGTTATAACATATTTTTTAATATTTATTCAACTATAACATATTTTGTAATGTTAAACATAATTTGAATAGACTTGAAGAATTTCATCGTGTGCACATGAATAAAAAAGAAAAATTTGTTGATCCTTTGGTTGAAAACCAATATGTAAGCTATTATTACTTAAAAATAAAATAAATTGTTGTTGTTTTTTTTTTTTTTTTTTTTAGTTTTAACGTATATTAACAATCTTTGTGAAATATATAATTCTTTGGTTGCTGAGGTTGCTCTACAGACTAATCACATAGTCGATTCTGGTGGTGATCCAGACAACATTGATTGGATCACAATATTTGAAAAGGTGTTGGGTACACGAAGGGGGCATGTGTGAGACATTGGGCCTAAACCTTTTTCAATTGCAGGTACAAGTGCTTCATCCCAATGACAGTCACAGTTACAAGCACCGCAACCAACACAGGTACTTGTTAAATTCTTAAGAATTTGGTAGCTTTGTTATATTTTTAAGAACTTGATATATTTGTAGTAATTTTTGGTAGCTCGGTAGTTTGTTAAATTGTTAAAGACTTAATTGATTTGGTGCTTTGATGGTTTGATAGTTTGTTGAATTTTTAATGACTTAATGTGTTTGTGATTTAATTGTAGGATGTTGATGTGAATGCTTTTCTTCAAAACCCAACATTTGTGATGGCTATTGGAGACATTATTCGCTCGTTTAAAAACCAAGTCAACGCGAAAAACAACGATGGGGAGGATGATGGGGAAGATGAAAACAACTAGTATTTCTTGTTTTATGATATGGAGAATGTTATTTTGGATTTTGAAGATAGTTTATGTATGATATATATTAGATGTTTGTTTGAGATTTATTAGATATTTTATGGAATATGGTATTCTTGATGTTTTTATATAATGTGGTATGTATTTATTCATGTATTTTTATCAAAACTATATTTTTTAATATATATAAATTAATATTATAAAAAATATGTTTTTTCTCAAAAAAAAATTAATAAAAAAAGCCATTTGCAGCGACGCCTTTAGGGATGACTACGATAAATTGCGGCGACGTATACCTCCGGGGAGGTTTGTCGGAGAAACTCCGGCCGGTTGCCGGAATATTAATAGAGACGACGTTATTTTCGACGATAATGATGTATTAGGGACGACGGGTATTGGAGACGGAAATATTAGAGACGACAACGGGCTATTAGCTATGAAGCAATTACGGCGACACATTAGCGACGACATGTCGTCGCAATACTTTTAGCGACAATAAGCATGACCAGTTGCGACGATTATTGTCGCCGCTAAAGGTTAGTTTTTTTGTTGTGCATCATAAATTACTCTCTCTCTCTCTCTTATTATCCTCATATCTTTGCATCGATATCCTCCCTTGTTCGTCTATACACCACCTCTACGTCAGTGTAGATCAACGACGACTCCAATCTGATGTCCTTAATCTCCATATCATCAACACAGAATCCACCAACCAAGAGATCGAATTCGTTCATGTTCATCTTCAATTGCAGCCATAGATCGTCGAAGCCCTAAGTCGTTTGGTGGTGGATCGATGGACGTATCCATCTTCATGTCCTACAAAAATAGTTTTCTATTGAAATCGAACTCAGACGCATCTATGCATCAGATCAAGCTCTGTAACAGTTCTCCAACTCTTACTCTTCATTCTCTGCTGGAATTTTCATGTCCTCCGTCGGTCTCTTCCCTTTCACCAGATTACAACAATAATAGGCAAAGTGTAGAAGAAGAATATTGGAAACCCCAGAAGAGATTTGTTTCCCAATTCTACGCCACTACAACCATTGCCGCCTCCTCCATTATGATAACAACGAAACATATGTCGTCCTTCTCAATCCACCGGTAATATGACTTACTTGTTCGTTATAATTTGAATCTATTATGTTAATTGTGAATTATCAGAGCAGAAGAAATAATATGAGGAAATGAAAAATATTAGAAATTAAGTTATACGATGATATAAAATGCTAGATCTATGCTGAAACATTTTGACTGAAGCAAGACAGTAATAAAAAAAAAACACCACAAATCATGTATGATTACTGCATCAGAGAAAAAAGAACATATGAACATACCATGTATATATGAAGTTGTTCGATTTTAGTGTTGATTATCTTGATATCGTATTGATTTCTTGATTTTACAAATAAGTTTAAATGATCGATGTTATAATTTTTTGAAGTTGCAACTAAAATAAAGTATTTGTTGTGCTTTAGTTGTTTTTAGTGGTTAAGTTTTAATATTTGAAAGCAAATTGAAACAGATTAATTCTTAGGATTTAATTTATTAATTTGAAGAATATGATTAGTTAATACTTTGAAGTTACATGTTGAAACACGTAATTGGTAATGTTTTTTTTCTTATAGAATTTTAGGTGTAAATTGTTTAAATAATCATCTTATAATACTTGCTTTTAGGATTTGAGTTATACACAGTTGCTTTTCATGTTAATTTACAGCTCTTAAATTTACTTATTTTCATTCAATATTTATTTTCAAACTGAGGTGAAGAAAACTTTTTTATCTTTTGTTATTAGCTATAAGAAATATATTTGGATGTAAAGATTATTGAACAAAATTTGTATATAAGAACACTTGCCCTAAGTCGAATTTGTAGATATATTTTTTTTTTGCATGTAGTTTTTATATAAAACTTGGGTGGACTCTTTTATAAGAATTATAAACTACAAACCGAGAATTATGAACTCAAGTGGATAAACTTTAAAGGTTATGAAAGTTATTTTGTTGCTATTTGCTAATGATTCACACTTCAAAACTAATGATTAGCTTTTGAGTAAATTGGATGAACTTTAAAGGTTCAATCAAATTAATGAATTAATGGAGTAATATGTAACACAGTTGAGACATTGCTTAATGACCAAATATATACACAAACCATATATGCCAAATAAATTATATGTCCTTCTTCAATTCTAGTTAAATCACAAGTGAATTACATATGAATTACATGTTATTCAAATCTAATTCACATATTAATCACATGTAATTCATATTTGAATCATCTTATTTTTTTATTTTAACTTGTTTCTAGTTAGATATAAATCTCAGGCGAATCACAAATTAATTACATATGAATCACATGTAAATTACAAGTGATTCACATGTAAATCACAAGTGAATATTATATATGAGTTAGATGTGATTCACATAAGAATATCATGTAATTCACATGTAACTCACAAGTGATTCACATGTAAATCACAAGTGATTCACATGTACAAGTGTATCATATATGAATTATATGTAATTCACATATTAATCACATGTAAATCATCTAATTTTTTTTTTTTAACTATATAGTTTATTTTAACTTATTTTTGGTTAGCAATAAATCTCAAGTGAATTATATGTAATTCACATATGAATCATATATAAATCACAAGTGAATAATATATGAATTACATGTGATTTACATATGAATAACATGTAATTCACATGTAACTCTTAAGTGATTCACATATAAATCACAAGTACATCATATATGAATTACATGTGATTCACATATAATTCACATGTGAATCACATGTAATTTACATGTGAATCAGCTTAATTATATGTTTTTAATATATAGTATATTTTAACTTGTTTCCGGTTAGCAATAAATCTCAAGTGAATCACATATCAATTACTTGTAATTCACATATGAATCACATGTAATTCTCATGTAAATCACAAGTGATTCACATGTAAATCACAAATTGATAATATATGAATTACATGTGATTCACATGTAAATCATATGCAATTCACATATGATATACACATGTATTTTTGTGAATGTTACTAGATTAATCATTTTTTTTTTTTAATTATTTTTGTAGATTTGGAAGAACTTGTGGAAAATATTGAATAGGTGAAAAGTGATAGATTAAAGAAAAATATGGAAATCTTGACGCGAAAACATGAAAACGCCTTGAAATTTTGTAGCGTATTTTGTTTTTTCTTTATTTTATTTTGTATCGAATAAAATTCTTGTACTATTTTGTTTATAGATTAATAAATAAAATTGAGTTTTTTTTTATGATTTACTTACAAATATTATAGTGTAAGAAATATGCATATATACATCTAAAATGCTATTTTTTTTGTTAAATCAATTATAGTTTTTTTTTTAATTTTTAAAGTTATTCCAATTTTATATAAAAAATTACAGTTTTCTTTTTCAATTCTTTTTAAAATTTATGTTTTCTAAAAATTCATGTTTTAAAAAAAATCGAAAATTATTATTATTATTTTTTTTAAATTAAAAAATTAATTTATCATGTTAATTTTTATATATTTTTATTAATATTTCTACTAAGACAAAAAAATTAAAACATTAAATGAGATTTGTAAAATGTCGGTCATGCCCTTAATAAGTTAATTTTGATCTAACGCTCCACCTTTAGTTCTCGGGTTCTCTGAAAAAAACTATGAGTTCTTAACGGATCTCACTTGATATATATATATATATATATATATATATATATATATATATATATATATATATATATATATATATATATATATATATTATATATATATATATATATATATATATATATATATATATCATTTACCTATATACGAGACCCTCTTCTGAAAATCGAAGGCGTTTACGTCGACGAGCTATTTGCTTACGGGCTTCCTCTCATGCCTCCCTCATCTGGTGGTAAGCTGTCTGCTTGCCTGTCTCAACCTCCCTTCATCCCTACCTCATCGTGACGTAACACTGGGGTCTAACAAACGAAACCGGCGGAGAGAGGTGGCTGACTGCTTGCTTCTGGTTATCCTAACCTCACGCTGAGGCAGGAGACTTCACCGTGGGTTTTCCTTAAAGATGGCAGCGTTTCCCCAAAGTTGCTTTCCACCTCATGCTTGGTTTAAAGTGTCAATGAAACGTGGATCAAAACCTCAGATTCTCTTTTCCGATTCAACCTCTTGATAGACCTCCAATTGCCACCTAATGTTGATACTTCTTAAAATCATTTATCACTATGAGAAGATTTTTATTTGGACTTGAAGCACCACCTTATTTATACGATAAGCGATTTGTGTTGCTGACACTGCTGGTTATTCTACGGAATCAAGGTAACAGAATTTAATTGTGTTTTCAAATTTAGGGCTCCTCAAGATTTTAATCACTACATTCCATTCCTCTTTCTCTTTAAGCAATTGATTTTAAGGTTTAATAAGGTTGGAATGATTCTCTACAAATACTCCTGACTATCATGTGCTTCTTTCTTTCAGTTGAGTTTTTTCTTGATTTCCTTTCGCCTTATCTTGAAATAAGTCATTGGATATTGATTCTAATACTTTGTGGACAAATCTAAAGCTACGCCTATACTTACCACTAATATCCTTCTCCTTTCTGCAACTTTTTTTTATATGTCATTAGATTCCAAATGGTGTCTAGGTCAAGTGCAGCCATTTCTTAAGGTGTGGTTTGAATTAAATTTTAGTATTGTGTTATTTATATGCTTTATGATGCTTGCGAATTCAAGGGATTCAATATTGGATGATTCAAAGTTGATATCCCCTTTTTTTTGGTTTATTAATTAGGGAAATAGAACTGGCAATAATCCATATTTTGAATATTTGAACTGACAATCATCCATATATTGAATATTGGATGCTTCATAGCTGAGGGAAATCTTAAATGTACTTCTCACTTCATATATCTCTCTGATTGATACCGAAGTTTGGTGTTCATCTTATTGTGCAAGTACCCTTTCATGTTCTTGATTCCATTGATATATGCACAAAGAAAAAGAAATTTCCCTTGGTATTTCAGAAAGGTAGGTTTGTACACCCCCCCCCCCCACCGGCGCGATGTCTGGGGTTCATAGCCCTAAAATATTTGTAAGTTTTTCAATTGGGTCAAATTCATTTGTCAACTAGGTCCTTTTTTGATGAATATGATGGGAAATTTTGTCCAGGTCATCAATATGTTGTAGAGAATAAGTGCTTCCATTTATACTTATGAAGTTAGTAGAAAACCCAATTGCACTTCACCTGTTTGATGAAATGCCTCAATGAGACATACGAATTTATTTTTCACTAAATGTAAGGTTACTGCCCAGAATCAAGTGGATTTGAAAGGGGTCTTCACAACATAATTTTTATTTTATTTTTATATTTTCACTCAACCAAAGGCCTTGATCATCTTTCTGCTTATTTTTTCTTTGAAATGGTTGTAAGTCTCACGTATGTCTGCACTTATACTTTTTGA